CTCAGTTTTTTCGCTAATCTTTATTGTTAACTGTATTTCCAAATTTAATCTTATAAGAAATGAAACGGAAGTAAGAAAACTGAAAATATCTCATCATTAATGAGTTTAATCGCTTCATAATTTGCGCGCGCCTAAATTGGGTTTCGTCATTAAAGTTCAGTCGTGACGCGACTACAATAACTCAGCTGGACGAAAAGTTCGTTTTACGACGCTTTGCCGCAGTTTATTTGTTTGCGAGTGTTTCGACAGTTAGAAAGAACTTATTCAGAGGAAAAAAATTGTGAAAAAGCATTTGAAACAGTCCAATTACAACGAGAGAGGTGCGAAATCAAGAGGAAAACTATTAAAATTGTACGTACAGGTTGAAAAAAATTGGCTTCTCGAGCGCAAGCCGTAGAAGTCATAACGACAAATTCAACACTTAGCACCCAGCAAACGAAGCAGGCTCTAGATCTTGGATCTTTTAAAAAACATTTGCAGCAAAAAGAAACCACGAAGTTTCTTATTTATATTTCAAGTGTTATTATTTTAAAAAAATTAATTAAGGCGCAATTGCACCCGCAGATCTCTCTGTTAAATTATTAGCAAAATGGTGTTAACTTGTGAGAATCGTTACAAGCTTGTTGCATGCAAATTATAAAGAAAATCTAATTACTAGATTTTCTACAAATAAACAAAACCGAGTTTAAAGGCCTGTTTATATTTATTCATGTTGTCATGGCAACGGTACATATGTCAGCTTAACCGTCAAAAAAACCAAAGTTGTGTTGTTAACTTGCTTGCTGCCATTTTTGGTGACAGAGAAATCAAGGGTTTTAGAGATAAAGGTGAGTGAAACACAGGTATCAAAAACTGTGTTCAGCCACCTTAATAGCTATCAATGATTATACAAGGAATTCGAATGTTCCACGACAGCTATAGTCTTACATCAAGCTACACAAGTTCCTCAGAGGTCTTTTTCTGGACAAATGACGTTCTCTGTTGAAACATTTTCAATTACAGCCTTTTATTGGCCATTTCCGAGTTACCTTGTGCCTCTGTTTCAAAACGAGTCTGCAAAGTGCAAAACCTTTCATATCGAAATGAGTTTGATTTGCATGAAAATGAACCCGTAGGTCCTGTAAGGGGAACACACTGAAAATGAAAATGAACATGCATTTAGGCGAAACTCGTTTTCATATAAACGGTTTTACTCGTGTTGACACAGAAGCAAAACTCGGAAATGACCTATTAATTTATGGTGCGTTTACCCTAGTTTTTAAATTTACCGGGAAGGTAAAAAACCTATACTTAGTAAAAATTAATTTTTCCTGAGGTGTAATTGGTCTTTTACGTATTTCCGGCTGTCGCTTGTCTCGGAAATGTGGTTTGCAGTACTCAGAAAATACCTGGTGTTAAATGTCTCGGTTTTCATCTTCCGGTTGAACGCAAAACCATTGTTGGCCTCAAAGATTGCACGAAAAAACGTAGTTGAAAATCAATCTGCACAAGACACAACACCCACCTTTAATTTCTTGTACCACCTCCTAGAAAGTTTTGGTCTCCCTCTGAAATAAACAAAGGAAAGTTGGTAATCTAGAGGAAAATCCGGACCGTGCGCACACAGAACCCAGACCCCGTCCAGATGTATTCAGATCAGTTTTTCGTAAACAGTTGCGATTTCGGTAACGATAAATNCTAATTACTAGATTTTCTACAAATAAACAAAACCGATTTTAAAGGCCTGTTTATATTTATTCATGTTGCCATGGCAACGGCACATACGTCAGTTTAACCGTCAAAAAACCAAAGTTTGTGTTGTTAACTTGCTTGCTGCCATTTTTGGTGACAGAGAGATCAAGGGTTTTAGAGATAAAGGTGAATGAAACACAGGTATCAAAAACTGTGTTCAGCCACCTTAATAGCTATCAATGATTGTACGAGGAATTCGAATGTTTCACGACAGCTATAGTCTTACATCAAGCTACACAAGTTCCTCAGAGGTCTTTTTCTGGACAAATGACATTCTCTGTTGAAACATTTTCGATTACAGCCTTTTATTGGCCATTTCCGAGTTACTTTGAGCCTCTGTTTCAAAACGAGTCTGCAAAGTGCAAAACCTTTCATATAGAAATGAGTTTGATTTGCATGAAAATGAACCTGTAGGTCCTGTAAGGGGAACACATTGAAAATGAAAATGAACATGCATTTAGGCGAAACTCGTTTTCATATAAATGGTTTTACTCGTGTTGACACAGAGGCAAAACTCGGAAATGACCTATTAATTTATGGTGCGTTTACCCTAGTTTTTAAATTTACCGGGAAGGTAAAAAACCTATACTTAGTAAAAATTAATTTTTCCTGAGGTGTAATTGGTCTTTTACGTATTTCCGGCTGTCGCTTGTCTCGGAAATGTGGTTTGCAGTACTCAGAAAATACCTGGTGTTAAATGTCTCGGTTTTCATCTTCCGGTTGAACGCAAAACCATTGTTGGCCTCAAAGATTGCACGAAAAAACGTAGTTGAAAATCAATCTGCACAAGACACAACACCCACCTTTAATTTCTTGTACCACCTCCTAGAAAGTTTTGGTCTCCCTCTGAAATAAACAAAGGAAAGTTGGTAATCTAGAGGAAAATCCGGACCGTGCGCACACAGAACCCAGACCCCGTCCAGATGTATTCAGATCAGTTTTTCGTAAAC